TGTAGCTCCGATGTCAAACTCAAGCAAACATTTTCACATTTCATCTGGAGATGTGCTGTGGGAGTAAATATTCAGGTTTGTGTCATATTTATAATTTCATCCTGTTCCTCATCAGGTGGGGGTTGTGCATTAACTAAAGGTATGGCGGAGGAGCTTTCATATCTCAGGAAGGAACCTGCCTCTCCACATTTTCAAAAAAATGTGCATGAGAGAGAAAGCCCAGTTATCCTTGTGCATGCTCTGTTTACAAGTAGCTGCAGCTGCTGGCCCTGCAGCTAACTTAGTCCACAGTCCCCAGGAATGGCCAGATGATCTAACACAGAGAAACTATTGGATCTCTGCATTGCTGCAGTTTATCATCTCAGCTGATTCTGTTAACAAAAGCAAAGCGTACTCCCTGTTGTTACTTTCATTTTCAACATACAGTGGGGCAAAAAAGTATTTAGTCAGCAACCGATTGTGCAAGTTCTCCCACTTAAAATGACGACAGAGGTAAATAATTTACATCATAGGTACACTTCAACTGTGAGAGACAGAATGTGAAAAAAAATCCATGAATTCACACGGCAGGATTTTTAAAGAATTTATTTGTAAATCAGGGTGGAAAATAAGTATTTGGTCACTTCAAACAAGGAAAATCTCTGGCTCTCACAGACCTGTAACGTCTTCTTTAACAAGCTTTTCTGTCCTCCACTTGTTACCTGTATTAAAGGCACCTGTTTGAATTCAGTATCTGTATAAAAGACACCCGTCCACAGCTTCAAACAGTCGGACTCCAAACTCCACTATGGCCAAGACCAAAGAGCTTTCGAAGGACACCAGGAAAAGAATTGTAGACCTGCACCAGACTGGGAAGAGTGAATCTACAATAGGCAAGCAGCTTGGTGTGAAAAAATCAACTGTGGGAGCAATTATCAGAAAATGGAAGACATACAAGACCACTGATAATCTCCCTCGATCTGGGGCTCCAAGCAAGATCTCATCCCGTGGGGTCAAAATGATCATGAGAACGGTGAGCAAGAATCCCAGAACCACACGGGGGGACCTGGTGAATGACCTGCAGAGACCTGGGACCACAGTAACAAAGGTCACCATCAGTAACACACTACAACAGCAGGGAATCAAATCCTGCAGTGCCAGATGTGTTCCGCTGCTGAAGCCAGTGCATGTCCAGGCCCGTCTGAAGTTTGCCAGAGAGCACATGGATGATACAGCAGAGGGTTGGGAGAATGTCATGTGGTCAGATGAAACCAAAGTAGAACTTTTTGGTATAAACTCAACTCGTTGTGTTTGGAGGAAGAAGAACACTGAGTTGCATCCCAAGAACACCATACCTACTGTGAAGCATGGGGGTGGGAACATCATGCTTTGGGACTGTTTTTCTGCTAAGGGGACAGGACGACTGATCCGTGTTGTTGAGGGTCTGACCTCATGAGGAAATTACTATGCAGTGATTTTCTCCAAAATGACTGTGCTTAAATTGCTCTGAAAAGCAAATAATCACATCAGCGCCAAGAAACTTCATTTCCCATGATGCTTTGCACACGAAAGCATTGTGATGACGTCACCGCCTAGTACCAGAAACACGTTCTGCGCATGTGCGGGAAGCCGTGGAGCTTTTCCCGCGAACTAAGACCATAAATCTTCAGCAGAGACAAAGAAACCTCGTTCTTTTGCCCAGGATACCTGGCGGTGAGGACACGCTTGTCGAACGCTCCGACTTCTTTGAGCACGCGGAAGCTCTAAGAGCCAAGTTGAGCCCACGGGACCGCTGATCTGCTCGTTTCTGCTCCCCTCCAGCTGATGTTTGAGGACACAGAACCAGCGGAGGGAAACAACAACTCCATCCAGCTCTCAGAAACGCTGTAAGTTGTCAAACTCAGCCCAAAAGGAACTTCGTTTTCTTTGTGTCCAGCCGTGGAGAAACACTCGTGGAGCCAAACAACGGAGAAAGCATCAAACCGGCGGATGACGCTGAAAACTGCGGAGAAACACGGAGAACCGTCAAATCAAAAGGGGGAGGGACGCCTCGCTCTTTTGGTGATCAGAAAACTCATTTTTCTCTCATTCTTTTCTTCTCCCGTTTCCTCTATAGTCCAGAATAAGCAATAAAACCGCGCTATTGCTTAAAAAAAGTAGCTTCGTGTTTTCCTCTTTCGTTCCAAATTCGTCCTTCGGGTCATTTTGAAAGAATAAACTGCTTATTAATCATTGTTTGGTATCTTTAAATGTTCGGCCATGGCCAGGCTGATAAACTAAGGATATTAACTCGTGATTAATCTTTTGTGTTGTTGCATGATCCTTTGAAATGTTTTGAGTGATTTAAGGTTAAGTTACTACTGATTCTAAGTGCTTTGGAAGTTAAAGTGCAAGTTGCCACCCACACTTTAGCCAGACAAAGGAGTCAGCCATCTTGTATTCAAGACTCCATTTTGAATCCATACACACGCACACACACTACTCCTTTGTGAGAACAAAGGACCCCATTCATACATCCTACATACACACAAAACACCTTGAACATTATTTTGAATATACATCCTTTTATTATATCACATGGTTATTATTCATTTATGCCACTGTTTATTCATTCGACAAATTGTTAATTAAACGTTATAAAATTCAGATTTTCGTCTCCAGTAGCTTTGTTGTGTCGAAGAGAAGTCTCTGCTCCAAGGATTCTACGAACTTCAAGAAAGACTGATAAGAGTTTTGGATTCAATTTTTCCCCGGAAAAAGGGGAATGGTGCCCCGTATATCTAAGAATATCTTAATTAATTAATAAATCAGTAAATATTCCCATATTTACAGAATTTATTGAAGAATCCAAAAGTAAGTTGAAGCTTACTAATTGTTCGCTCCTAATAACCCCAACAGTGTTAAGGACAGAATGAATGGGGCCATGTATCGTGAGATTCTGAGCCAAAACCTCCTTCCATCAGTGAGAGCTTTGAAGATGAAACGTGGCTGGATCTTCCAACATGACAATGATCCCAAACACACCGCCCGGACAACAAAGGAGTGGCTCCGTAAGAAGCATTTGAAAGTCCTGGAGTGGCCGAGCCAGTCTCCAGACCTCAACCCCATAGAAAATCTGTGGAGGGAGTTGAAAGTCCGTGTTGCTCGACGACAGCCCCAAAACATCACTGCTCTCGAGAAGATCTGCATGGAGGAATGGGCCAAAATACCAGCTACTGTGTGTGCAAACCTGGTAAAGACCTATAGTAATCGTTTGAACTCTGTTATTGCCAACAAAGGTTATGTTACAATGTACTGAGTTGAATTTTTGTTATTGAACAAATACTTAATTTTCCACCCTGATTTACAAATACAGGTGCTGGCCAGTAAATTAGAATATCATCAAAAGGTTGAAAATATTTCAGTAATTCCATTCAAAACGTGAAACTTGTACATTATATTCATGCAATGCACACAGACCAATGTATTTCCAATGTTCATTACATTTAAATTTGATATTTATAGGTGACAACCAATGAAAACATCAAATCTGGTATCTCAGAAAATTAGAATATTCTAAAGGCCAATGAAAAAATGTTTGTTTCTCTAATGTTGGCCAACTGAAAAGAATGAACATGAAAAGAATGTGCATGTATAGCACTCAATACTTAGTCGGGGCTCCTTTTGCCTCAATAACTGCAGTAATGCGGCGTGGCATGGACTCGATCAGTCTGTGGCACTGCTCAGGTGTTATGAGAGCCCAGGTTGCTCTGATAGTCGTCTTCAGCTCCTCTGCATTGTTGGGTCTAGCGTATTGCATCCTCCGCTTCACAATACCCCATAGATTTTCTATGGGGTTAAGGTCAGGCGAGTTTGCTGGCCAATCAAGGACAGGGATACCATGGTCCTTGAACCAGGTGCTGGTGGTTTTGGCACTGTGTGCAGGTGCCAAGTCCTGTTGAAAGGTGAAGTCTGCATCCCCATAAAGTTGGTCAGCAGCAGGAAGCATGAAGTGCTCTAAAACTTCCTGGTAGACGGCTGCATTGACCCTGGACCTCAGGAAACAGAGTGGGCCAACACCGGCAGATGACATGGCACCCCACACCATCACTGACGGTGGAAACTTTACACTGGACCTCATGCAACGTGGATTCTGTGCTTCTCCGCTCTTCCTCCAGACTCTGGGTCCTTGATTTCCAAAGGAAATGCAGAACTTGCTTTCATCAGAAAACATAACTTTGGACCACTCAGCATCAGTCCAGTCCTTTTTGTCCTTGGCCCAGGCGAGACGCTTCTTGCGCTGTTTCTTGTTCAAGAGTGGCTTGACACACGGAATGCGACACCTGAATCCCATGTCTTTCATGAGTCTCCTCGTGGTGGTTCTTGAAGCGCTGACTCCAGCTGCAGTCCACTCTTTGTGGATCTCCCCCACATTTTTGAATGGGTTTGTCGTCACAATTCTCTGCAGGGTGCGGTTATCCCTAGAGCTTGTACACTTTTTTCTACCACATTTTTTCCGTCCCTTCGCCTGTCTGTTAATGTGCTTGGACACAGAGCTCTGCGAACAGCCAGCTTCTTTAGCAATCACCTTTTGTGTCTTGCCCTCCTTGTGCAAGGTGTCAATGATTGTCTTTTGGACAGCTGTTAAGTCAGAAGTCTTCCCCATGATTGTGGTGCCTTCAAAACAAGACTGAGGGACCTTTTAAAGGCCTTTGCAGGTGTTTTGAGTAAATCAGCTGATTAGAGTGGCAGCAGGTGTCTTCTATATTCAGCCTTTTCAGAATATTCTAATTTTTTGAGATACCAAATTTGGAGTTTTCATTAGTTGTCACTTATGAATATCAAATTTAAATGTAATGAACATTGGAAATACATTGGTCTGTGTGCATTGCATGAATATAATGTACAAGTTTCACGTTTTGAATGGAATTACTGAAATATTTTCAACCTTTTGATGATATTCTAATTTACTGGCCAGCACCTGTACATTCTTTAAAAATCCTGCCATGTGAATTCATGGATTTTTTTTTCACATTCTGTCTCTCACAGTTGAAGTGTACCTATGTTGTAAATTACTGACCTCTGTCATCATTTTAAGTGGAAGAACTTGCACAATCGGTGGCTGACTAAATACTTTTTTGCCCCAATGTAGTTGCCGACCGGAGCTTGGCAGTAACTCCCCACGTGATCATGACACTTCCCTCAGTTGCGCCAAGGTGTGATATGCGTTGTCCGGCGTTGTGGCAATATCACTACCAAGTGTGGCGGTACAAATGCAGCACCAACACCACAACACATTCACAAGACACACCGTGGTGGCAGTATTATGCTGATTTGCCAGCATGGGGTGTCTTATAAAAAGGGCTTTTTAAGTAAGATCTCAATGAAGCTGGCCTTACTCTGTAACGTAGGAAAACTGGCCACAGAACTGCTGCTGGATGACATTTTGCAGGCTGGGATTCTTCTGTTTGGACAGAGTATCCTCCAACAGAGACAGGAAAAGCTTAGAAAACTCCTGGGCATCCTGGAAATGAAGAAGTCTCATGTCAGAGCTCTGCTGTGAAAGCACACATGCACTATTCCTCCCACAGACACTGATGCTCTCACCCAGCATCTACTGGATCATCCTAAAACTGATCAGTTCCATGCAAACATGCTTTGACAACAAAACAATTTACTGAGTGGACCGTTACTGAAGGTTTCTAAATAAAATAACATTTTTACAGTAAAAACCGAAATCATAGCTAAACCAGATTGTTTTAGGTATTATTGGTATGATGCATCATTACAGTTTAATTCAACTTAGTTTATTTATATATGTTTATTGTAATGGAATGAAATGACAGTGTTTTTTTCCCTGCTCTGCACAAGACTAGTCTGCATGAGATATGGTCTCATGCATTCCTTCTAACCTGCTTATTTTCAGCTCAACAGAAGAATGAAGAATGAACTCTTTTAATCAAAGAAAAGAGTTATTGGCTTGAAAATTACTGATGGACCCTGAAAAGGGTAAGTTAGTAGTATAGGGTTAGGTAGGCATGTGCCAAAGGATGATAATTATTTTTTGTGAAAGATTTTCTACTGCTATGAATGCAGTTATTTTTTCAAAAAAATCCTCGCATATTAATGCTTTATGACAAAGGCTGTTCACAGTGAACATGAATGTGAGTTTCCCTACTGTGTTGTGTGGAAAAATAATTACTTTGAAAATAGTTTGTACAAAACGGGGGTTGAAAACTAGCAAGCTGACTGTGTTGTAGCCAGTGAGTGACTGATGGATGGGGAATAAGTACAGTATATGTCAAAGGATAACTTTTTGTGTGAAAGAGTGTTTATTTACTGTTGTTAATGAATGCAGTTCTTTTTTCAAAAAGTCTTGCATGTTCATGCTTTATTAAAGGTAAACCCTTCCATGCAATGACATTTCCTAGTTATTTATATTATTTCGCACCAACACTATCCATCTGCTCCTGGTATGGCCCTTCTGTCAAATTTTTGAACCCATTGCGGCCCACAAGTCAAAAAGTTTGCCCATCCCTGTTCTAGGGTGTCTGCTCTGTCTTCTCAAACCCCTAGTGAGTCATGGCAGATGGCTGCTCATAAGCCACTTCCACATCTGGGTCAGTATGGTCAGTGCCGGGTCGCGTCAGTTTGGGCTCCTACGGGTGTTTTTTTCTTTATGTATGGTTTCCAGGGACTTCTCAGGTATGTGGAATTCTTCAAGCACGTGGGTGGCATAAAAGACACGAAGAAAAGTTTGGGAGTTAATTTGCTCCCTGTTCTCTCCCTGATGCAGCAGCAGAGGACACAGTGTGGGTCACACACACACACCTTCAGGTGATCTGAGCTCCAGCTCTGACGAAGAGAAGATCCTAGAGTGCTGCATTGCTCCAGTTTATCCTCTCAACTGGTACTGGTAACAATAAATTAGGGCTGCACAATATATCGCAAATATATTGTTATCGCGATATCAGCATGTGCAATATGCATATCGCAAAGAACAGATAAACATCGCAATAAATGGTCAGCTCAAATGTTTGCTACACATAATGCACTGTGTCAATCAAACGGAAGCATGATGTTTTTTTAACAAATCAAATAGAGCTCTTCACCCATTTGGCCAATTGAGTGGGTTCTCATAGGTTAGAAGCCTGTTGGAGGTTTCTTCCTATAAGGGAGTTTTCCTCTCCACTGTCGCTGCATGCTTGCTTAGTATGAGGATTGCTGTAAATACTCTGACACTAGTCAGTGGCTCGATGCAACCTGCTGGGTTCCTAATGTAGGAAACTTTTAAGTGTCTAGTTGTGAATTGATGCTATATAAACAATCTAAGTCGAACTGAAACTGAATTTCAAACTCCAGTCATGAATCACAATGGTACAGTACTGAGTCTGCTCTCTCTGAACCTTGAGGCTGCAGGCAAAACCACCACCATCAGATGAAACATGCTGAGTGTCATTATCCTGATGACACAAACACCTGCTTTACCACTACAGAACTTCCTTCTCATTTAAGCTATCAAGCATAAAAAGCATCAGTGATAGACGAAGTATAGAAACGGTCTGCAGGAGTAGATTTGGTTGGTTTGCGTTAGATTTACCTGCTGTTGTCCTGTGTCCAGACCTAGGGCTTTGACCAGTCCTGAAGGATCGATGTACTTTCTATTGCTATTCTGAAGAAGAGCAAAAAGGTACTGCAGATGTTCACAGATGGACTGGGGCTCATAGTCTGTGAGAGACAAATATGTTCTTTTGAGAGAAGGACAAAATGCAGTGATAAAAAGCTTCAGAGTAAACACATTTTGTACTTGATCTGCTCTACTAGTTAACATTACAATGTTTCACAGTTAGAAGCAAAGTTAAGTGAATACGTTTGGGAGAAAATTATCTCTGAATGTTCCTCTAAGGCAGGGCTATTCAACTCCGGGCCTGGAGGGCCTGTAACCACCACGTTTTAGTTGTAACCTGCTTCAACACACCGGATTTCAGTCAGCAGGTGATCAACAGGCTTCTGCAAGACCTGATGAGCTGCTGCAGGTGATTCAACCACTGAATTCAGTGTGGAGCAGAGTTAGCCTGTGGGTCTGCTGGATGTGAGAAGTGATGGTTCTGGCGATGGTTGTTCGGTTTGGGGTGGATTCGTGGGTTGTCCGGGTGGTCGGCCGATGGCCTGTTCAGACCCGGTAAGATGGCGGCCCGGCTTCGCTTCAGTTCAGCCTCCTCTGGGACAGAGGATGAGGAGGAAGGTGGCAAGTAGGGCTGAAGCGGCTGCTAAGACGGATCGTTAGTGATGGGACAAATGAAGCGAGGCGTCAAGGCTTGTATCGAACAGGAAGGGGGCGTGTCCACAAAGCCCCGCTTTGAGGCTTGTTTAATTTTGTGTAAAACCACGTGACTGATAACACATGAAGGCTCGGTTTGCCTGAGCAATGTGACTGGTTCGTTTCGTGTCACGTTCAAAAGAAAGCTGCACAACCTCACGGTGGGCTGTGTTAATTTGGTCTGTGTGGCAGAGTTCATCCACAATGTCAGCATCACACCTGTCAACTGTCCCATTTTGGGCCTGAAACTGTTTTAAAAATCATAAACTACTCCAGGGTTTCCTCCAGTGGCTTTATAAGCCTGGCGGCTCGCCAGGCTTTGCTTGCCCACCCGCCAGGCTAAGCGTCATGCCCCGCCCCCCTCCCTGACCCGACCGTATCCGCTGACACGAACGGCGCAGCAAAACTAGAGCCCTCCATCAGCTGATACTGGTGAGAAACAGCAGCGGAACGTGTGCAAACCCCCCCCCCCCCCCGCTCTCACAGAGGAGCACTGCGGGACGGAATGCGCAACACCCCCCCCCCCCCCCCCCCCCCCCCGGCCAAAGCCGCCAGGCTTAACCCACTGTTGTAATTGTGGTGGGAGTATCAAGCAGCTTTTAGGGCTTGTGCGTCATATAGGACTGCGGTGGAGGTGGGGCAGTTTCAGGCTGAGCATAAGGTGTCTGCTGATGAGGCGGTGCGTCATGTGGGGGTACGGGCTGGTGCATCTAGACCTTAGCCCCATTCCCACCTGTACCGGGTCGGCCCGGGCCGGGTAGCCCCAGTCGGCCCCAGCCTGGCCCGGTTGATTCCACACATCCTTGCCTTAAGCCCATGTGGGCTGATTCTACCCACCAATCAGAGGCTTGCTCTAATGGAAGGTGTGAATTTGCTGTCAGCAGTGGGCGTGTTGGCCCTGGTCGGCCTGAAGCAGTACCCCTCGGGAAGAGGGCCGAGAATGAGCCTTGGTTGGCCCGGGAAAATTCCAGGCCACCCAGATATGTAAACAACCTATGCTACCCGGCCCGGGCCGACCCGGTACAGGTGGGAATGGGGCTCTTGTACTCTGTCTCTGTCAACTGGAGGTGGGGGTGAGGGAGTGGGTGTGGTGGTTGTGAGGGGTAAGAGGATGTTCTTGAGGTTTCTGGTTGAGGCCTTGTGGAGGGTGAAGCATGTGCTGTCCAACAAGTACAATGTGGCTAGCGAAGTGACTGCGGATGCGGGGACCCTTTTGATGTGTCCCTGACGCGTCCAGCCTGCCTAGATTAAAGAAGAATCTAGTGTGCTGGACCAGAGAAACCACAAAACGTGTTGAATACCGGCCCTTGAGGCCTGGAACTGAATAGCACTTCTCTGAGATCATGATGCCCTTCACCAGTGGTGTCCAACACTCGTCCTGGAGAGCAGCGCGGTTTCGTTGTCTTCGACATGCCTGATTCAGTGGCTGAATTACAGGTTCTAACTCTGCTGAAACCTGTTAATCACTGTAAATCACATGTGGCAGAACTGGACACCACTGCTTTACACAAACTGTCAACTGACATTGACTTATTTTTACCTGCTTTATATTTAATACTTGGTCAGATAATTAACTTGTTAAATTTACTTTGGTTATATGTTTGATTGTGAAAC